AATATGTCAGTATAAAATTAAGTATTTCAGCGAGCAGATTTATAGTCATAGATAAAGGAATAGTCTCCGATCACAGCTACCTTACAGCACAGCATAGAACTGTTCTATGGAGCTACATAGGCTGAAGTCTTGACAGAAGCATATGGCCCATGTCTTTTCCCTTGTACAGAGACTGTTGAGTTCAAAGCTCTGAATTTGTGGTTAGCAGCCTAGTATTTAACTTCTGTACCACAATACTCATAAGTCAAAATCAACTCAACGACACACAACAACAATATAAAGCAATAAGAAAACATACATCAGGGCTCTTTATTTTTTCTGTACTCTGGATTTTTTTTCTTAATTTTATTGTTATCTTGGTCCAAGATATACATAAAGCAATACACTGCTGCTTGTTTTCCTCTGGTATCACTTTGAAACTACATTTCTGTTCCATAAATTTAATTTCTAGAACTGAAAACCTGACTTAATTACACATACAATTTGAACATATTTTATTTTGCTGTCTTGGGAAAATAATTCCAAATGGTGTGAAAAGCTATAGATCCCAGAAAATCAATGTTTGGAGCATAATGCGTAGTTACTTGCATAAGTAAAGATCTTACCTGCCAAAATGGTTTAAAAATATATATAAGAATAACAAACTACATAATGAACATCTGGTTTTATTTCTCAAAAACATAATATATTCATGCATTTTATACTGTTTTTTTTCTGGCATAATTGTTTATACACTGCCAAGTAACAATGTCAGCAATTAAATATCACTTCAGTTTCTTACCTGGATCACAGTTTTTCTCATCATCGCCATATTTACAGTCTTCATGACCATCACATTTCCATTTTATGGGTATACACTGACCATTGGAGCACTGAAACTGATCTTTAGAACAACTTGTTTCACAATTTCTCTGTCAAAAATAAGATGGAAGTGACATTTAAAGAAAAATATCTATAAATACAACCTTATGTATAGAAGCCTAGGTAAATAGAAACCATGTCTGCTACATACAAGTAGCTTAGAGGGTTGTATTTTAGTCCCAGGCTCATATAAGACAATTTCTCACTTTCTTGATCTCTTAAAGCCAAAATAAACTTTTAAAAAAATCCTTTGGATTTTGCTATACTAATTATATTGTTTGGCATGGATGACATTTCAAAAGACACTTAAATTTAATAATCGTAATATAAATTTAATTTTTTATAAATATGATTTATATTAATATAACTTTAATAATTGTAGCTGAAAATGAGAGGATAGGAAAACAAAAGGTTAGAACTACTTCTAAGCAGCTATTTACAGAATAGCTGGCAGGGAGGAAACTTAAAACAAAAGAAAAGCCTGAAGCAAATCTGATTGCCACGATATCCCCTAGTGTTCTGCCTTCTCCCTTTCTACCTTTGCCGCTGTCCTGTTTTTATGGGGCAGTGCTTATAGAGTTTGTAGAGTTCAGTTCTGATTCATAATCCCTTTTCTCTCTGCTAGGTTTTTTTCTTTTCCTAAAGATTTGCAAAAGGAGCCTTAATGCTTGCCATTCTGGCAAGTCCACATATAGAATTTACTTGGATGTCAACAGAGAGAGTAGATTTAAATTTGGGGGTGTTTTCATTCTCTATATGAGATAGGTGAAAGGGGAACACTAGAGCTTCCCCTTCCCCAGTCCCAAACCTTGTTTGAAATGGTTGTTTCACTAACATGCCTTACTCAAGTTGTGTTTGCCTTGCAAAAGAGTTCCTATCTTACCAAAAGAGCTTCTTTTTCCTTCCGCAAACGTTTCAAACCCTTTCACAACCAGTAGAACCCCATGTGAGTGAGGCATGCTGGGCTATTCCTCCTCATTTCTTTCCAGCTACGTCCCCAAGTTTAGACATAGGCATCCTTTCTATGTTCTCATATTATTCTCTTTGCTCCTGATATATATTTTTAAATGAAACGTCATGGAAGAACTTTCATATTCCTGCATCCTGCAATGCAATCAGAATATTCTTCCCTCCTTCCTCTTCTGTCTCTCTTCCTTCAAGTATTGGGAGTTTAACAATAACCCAGGATTTATTTTGTTGGTAAGAAAACCAAAAACAAACACAGAAACAAAAAATTGAATACACACACATACACAGAACCCTACGATTTTCTCTGTACATTTGTTAAAATCATTGACGATCAGGAAATCCCACACCTAAATTAACAAATGCACTAAAATATATGAAAAGAAAACAATTAATGGTTACAGATTTATTACTGTGATTTAGTGGATGTTTCAAGAAGAGTAGTACGTAAAATATGGAACTATCTAAGAGAAGACTTTCATAGTCAGGACAATTAGAAATTGGGTATGTCTGAGGGTAAGCTAAGTAACGGTGGATGCTGAGAAATAGGAAAACCCATCATTCTTCATGAGTTATGGGGTTTCATAGGGCTCATTCAACTCTTTTCTTCATAATCTGAAAAGTGACTGGCATATAGTAAGTGTTCAGTAGTAACTGATGACTAGTAACTGCAGAAATTAATTTATTAACTAGTAAATATAAAAATGAGGAACATAAATTAAAATCTCATGTAATTAAGTTTCATCAGAATAGAAATCATGTCTGCTAGTTCATCAAGCAAGTAATGGCATGATAACGGGCTACTCAATGAATATTTGAAAATTAACAAATCTCAGTAATGAAGCTCATTTAAGAAGTTATATAACTGACATGTCTAGAGGGCTTTAAAAAAATAGCAGAAGTGTTATTTTAGGTACTTGCCTTATCATCAAAATGCTTCTGTCAATGATAAAATGACTTATGTGTGTATGTTATCTATTTAATATTATCTCAACAATCATCACCATACCACTATTATTGCTCACTCACTGTTCACACCCACCTCCAGTTATTTATATTTTGGTATATTTTAAAAATAACAGTAACATTATTTGAAAGTAACAGCATCACAACATTAACCATATTAATTATTAGTATAAATTTATTTTGAATCCTTATCCAAAACATGCTCATTTTCTCCACACTATGAAATATATTTTGGTAATATAAGGAACCAAAATATGAGTATATCTATATACTAAATTGGATTGACATATTTCTTTATTTTCTTTCAGTCTATTACTACTCCCCTATCTTCAAGTTTGTTTGTATTATTTGTTTCTCTGTAGGTTTTCGTAGTGATTTATTGTATGACGAAACTAAGTTATTTGTTCTTCAGTATGTTCACATTCTGAATGTGGCTGGTTGAGTATTCAGAATGGCGCTAGAGCAACTTCAAAAGACTAATGAAGTTTTGATATTTTTTAGGACTACTAGGAACTCCTGGGTTTTTATGTATCTAATGTGTTTCTACCCATTTTGGTGTGTTTTCATTCTGAAAATTATTTCTTCTGTGGTCAATGAGAGCCTCTTCAAAGTTGATGTACGTCCTTTAGACGTGGTCCTCAGAATCTTGCTTTCTTAGGCTCGAGAAGACTACACAAGCTTATCTCTTTCATTTCCCTTTTTGAGTGAGAATCAGGCAATTTTTCAAATAGCCTTGTTTTCTTCATCTGGAAATGGTAGTGAGAGGCTACAATGTGGATGCTCACTCTTAGACGATTAGCTTAATACTCATTTTTATTAGTTTATCATTACTTTTAGGGCATTCTTGTTGCTAATGTACAAAATGTATGCTGTAAGAAAAAAGATCAGTCAAGACCTAACACTGATACTTTTAAATTGACTATTACAGATTATTTATTGAGTTATTTTGGTTTTTATTTATCCTTTCTTTTACCCTGCAACATTTGATTTCTAATGGAAGTAGCATGATATAAACATTTCAACTATGTTTCTCTCCACTTGTTGTTGTTGCTGTTGTTGTTCAGTGCTATGGAGTTGGTTCTGACTCAAAACCCTGAGCCATCTTTGCAATTGTTCCTGTGCTGGAGTCCATTGTTGAGCCACTGCGTCCATCCATCTCGTTGAAGGCCTTCCTCTTTTCCACTTCCCTCTGCTTTATCAAGCACGATGGCC